GGGGGGGGGGGGGGGGGGAACTATTCCACACATCTAAATCACATTTTTTCCCCAATCCATCCATCTCCCCCAAACCAAAAAAATGCCACATATAAAGAGCATGGAGCAGGAGATACAAGGGTACCACCAATACCTTGCCACTGTAGTGTTATGAAAACAGTTAGGTTAAACATGCTTATATGATCCTAGGAGGTTGGCAACACTCCACATTCCAGAGAAAGGCAAAAAAACCCGAAGGTCCATTAAGCCAAGAGCGCATCATGTTTTATATGGTGCTCTTCTCTGAAAGGGAGATCTTTCATTGCAAAAAGATACTCTGTATTTTAAGTTTCTGGATTCAGCAGAAGTGGCCACTGTGATTTTGAGTCATGAAGCAAAGAATGTGATCAGTGCTACCCATCAATTCAACACTATTCTATCATTTTTTCATTTGAGTATTTTTCAAGTTCTCCAAACCACTTGGACTTGTCAACTACTATTTGGGCCAACACTTCCCAAATTCCCAAAAACAAAAAAGTTGTACTAGTAAACAACTGAAATCCACCTCCCTCCCCCATCTCAAACAGAAAAAGTGACATTGCAGTCAAAAACAAAAATATGATACAAGCAACAAATAATGGCAGTAAGCATGGAGCATGATGCACAAGGTAGTACTTTTATGATTATTATCGAAGTTTCAACAGCATTCTGGGTATTGTACAAAAGACAAAATTCCTGCCCTTGGACTTGAAAGTGTTATATTGTCAATACAATCCAATCTCATTAAATACTGGTTGCAGATCAAGGCTTTAGCCTGAGATGTACATTGGTTTTAGAGGCAGGGATAGTTCATTAACCTGAAGTTTAAAATGCAGGAGAACTTGCTTGATGTTACTGAACCAAAACAAAATGACAAAGAATTACTTGAGTTGCTAAATGCTTTTTCGGATATCTATCAATCAGAGCCATACATGGTTTTTTATCATAAATGGATAGCTGTATCCTCTCCAAACACCTACTACATCGTAAGTGCTCCCAATCTGGTGCTAGATTCTCTCATGGCACAGTAATGACCTTTGAAACGTCAGTGTTCTAATTAAGTGCAATTTTTAGATCCCACTTGTAAGTTGATGTTATTTGGAAATGCAGCTGGAACGTCTGGCTTGTATCCCTCAACCATGTTGCCCTGGATTCATTCTTATTTACTGATTTATTGCCAGTCTCTGCTGGCATTTCTATACCTACCATAAACAAGTTCTTCATCCAGCTTTGGCTCAACACTTTTGATCTTTGTGTTTTATTAAGCTGAAACAGTTCTCTCACACACATCTAAGAGTTGTAAGCCCTCTCCCCGCTCTTCAGATATTAATGTTGTTCAACACGGAGAAAAATCTAGTAAGTCATATTTCAATTAACAACTTGACATTCAGTTGAAGAATTCTCTCATGCTATAAAAAGCCCAACAACCTAGCACTGCTTATGTCATCGGATTACACAGTATAGAATTCTCTTCTCAAAAAGGCTTCATGCCCCTAACCTAGGGAATCTTCCTTTGCCAAATGACCACCACACTGCACATGGAAGTAGAAGCACTGCAGTTCGCCACTAGCAGCACTGCCAGTTGCTTCAGCCTGAGAGATGTTGTAAGGTGTGCCTGGGAACTGGCCTGACAGTTTCAGATAACAGAAGTGAAAGCTAGCTTAAGTTAGTTTGCATCACTCAGCTGCACCCCAAAACATTTTGGATTTGGGCCAATGATTTCACTGATACCAAGTAAAATAATTTAGTAAACAGTAAAGTATCATATTCCCACTCCAGCAAAAACTCAGGAGGATACTAGGCAGCAACTGCTAGCTACCTCTAAAACCAGGTCTGGATAATTTGCATTCAAGAGTTTCAAAATAGCTGTCTGAGGAGTTCTTTGGACTATTAACGTTCATTAAGTTCAATAAAAGACATGTACCAAGTTCTGCACTTAGGATGGAACAATCCCATGCACAGTACAGGCTGGGGGCTCAGTAGCTAAGCAGCTGCTCTGCAGAACAGGACCTGTGGGTTACAGTGGATAATAAGCTGGATGAGCCAAAACTATTCCCTTGTTTTGAGGAAGCTGAATGGCATACTGGGCTGCATTAACAGGAGTGTTTCCAGAAGACTGAGGGGAAGTGATTATTCCCTGTATTTAGCTCTACTGAACCTATATCTGGAGTACCATCTCCAGTTTTGGGTCCCCGACTACAGAAAGGATATAGATAAATTGGAGACAGTCCAGCAGAGGGCAACAAACATAGTTGGGGAACATGAGGAGAGGCTAAGGGAACTGGATTTATTTAGTCTGGAGAAGAGAAGATGGGAGTTTTAAGAACAGGCTTCAACTACCTGTAGGACATTTACAAAGAGGATAGAGCAAGACTGCTCTGAGTAGTAGAACAAGAACCAATGGTCTCAAGTTGCAGCAAGGTAAGTTTAGGCTAGATATTAGGAAAAACTCTCACTAGGAGGGTAGTAGAGCCCTGGAACAGGCTACCCAGAGAAGTTGTGAAGTCTCCATCCCTAGAGATTAAGACCCTGGATAGACAAAGTCTTGGCTGGGATGATATAATTATATAGTTGGGGATGGTCCCGCTTTGAGCAGAGGATTGGACTAGGTGATCTCCTGAGGTCCCTTCCAGTCTTATTTTTCCATCATTCTATGATTTCTATGGGCTCCTATACACACGCAGGCAGCTTGCACTGACGTGCTGTAATGGCAGGGCACTGGAGCAGACTTGAGTCTGCTGGATCGTGGAAATTAACAGACTCCAGCAGTCTCCAGCATCACGTGCATCAGCATCCCCACTCTGAAAAATGGCAGTGGAATGCTTTGAACTAAAGCTCACTGAATGGTCTTTAGTTCAAAGTGCCCCACCACTATTTTTCAGTGAGAGGATGCTGATGCAGGTGATGCTCTGGGTGCTTTTAATTAACTTAACTCTCAGAGCTGCATTAAAGTGCCCCTTCCACAGCACATGTATAAATGCCCTATGATTCTATAAACCAGTGCCAATTAATATGAATATATAGGAAATGGATTTTTGTAAGCTTGCTATCTTTTTTAGCTATTGAAGACTTAAGAGAAGAAGATAATAGTGTCGCTTCATAATTGTGTAAAGGACCTGACTTTATACTGCACAGCGTTCTGATTAACAGGCTAGAATGATACAAAATGATCATGGGATGTGCTAACTAAACACAAATACATCTTAAGGTTATTGTAAATGGAGACTCAAATGATTTTTGGCAAGTTACCGGAAAGATCATTTTCTGGTTCTCTATTATTTAACCTATATAGAGGACAAGGACCTAAACTTCAGTGGCTGGATCCTTCATGAATCAGTGACCTGTTATAAATGATTGGGCAAGTAGTAAATAATGAAAAGAACAATGTCAGTGATGCAAAGTAATCTGAATTGCTTGGTGTAGTGCACATGAACAAACAATATGTATGTTAACAGACAATCAGTCATATCTAGAAACCAAGGATATAAACCACACTCACAAGGGGGAAATTGGAGAAGGGTCTGTCTGAAAGAGTTGGGTGGGGGTCTTCCTGGACACTGAATTGAACATGAGCTGTCAGCACAGTACTGTGATTAAAAGGACTGCATACCAGGAGAATTTCTAGCAGAACTAAAGGGAGATTGTCTTTATTTAAGACTTGTCTAACCATTTCTGAAATATTGGTTCCAGGTCAGGTATTTATAATTCAAGGAGGATATAAAAAAAATGGAGACAATCAGAGAAGAGCCATACAAGTAAAAGACTGGAAAATATGCAGTGAGAGACTCTGGGAGCACAACCTATTTAGCTCATCTAAGGAAGGTTAAAGGGGTCACTTGAATAAAAAATGGGTTACTGCAAGGTAAACATTAATGTGGGGATTTACAGCATGCCAGCTAATCCATCTAACTTCCTATGTGCATGATATTGACCCCTGGTAAATGAAAGTTAATCACAGCTATCCCAGAGGAAGAAACTGCTACAGATTAGTTTCATTTATTACAGGGTAAGAGCATATACACAGAAGTTAATCACCAAGTAGCTGGCACAAATTCCCAACCTCATTCATCTTCCAGTAACACATTTGTATGCCCATGCCTACAAGCATTAAATGAGGAATATATTTGATAGTTGGTTCTTCAGTATAGAGGACAAAGGCCTAGACTTCATTGGCTGGAATTTGAAGCTAGACAAACTGAGCCCCTAAACCTGGAAAAAATTCTGAAAACAAATAAATACTGGGAGTTGGGGCTGTGGAGTCAGTATGGAATATCTATCATTACAAATTTTAAAGTCATATTCTGATTTTTTTTTTTTTGGAAAAATAAGAATATACTCCAGATCAAACAATTAATTCACAAATTTCTATGACCTGTGTGTGTCATGTTGGAAGTAAGACTAGCCAAGTGGTTCTCAACTTTTTTAAACTCAAGACAGCCCTCAGAAAATGCCAACTCTTTCACACATTTTTACTACAGATAGCAGGACAATTCTTCTGTTGTAAAGGTATCACAACAGATCAGAAGATGTGACTTTCCTATTTGAAGTCTTTAGTTTTATCTTGTGAATCATGTTTACACATCTAACAGTGCTAACATTATATTGCAACCCATAGCTCCCTTGAAAGGATCTCAAGGCACCCCAGGGTGCTTCAACACTATGGTGGAAAGAAAATAAATAAATAAAATAAAAGTCCCTGGATTAGGTCACATTGGTCCCTTCTGGACTTCATGAAGATATGAAGCTGCATATTTATTTTTAAACATTAAGGCTGTTTTATAATCAAATCTTTCACTGGCTTGTTTCCTTCTACACTTTAGCCGAGCTCTTAAATCCTTTAATCTAGATTTTAAAAATCAATCCTAAACTTCATCAAAATATTATGATGCAGTCCCTTCATATTCCCACTTCTAAGACCAAATCTACTAGATCAGGAGTGGGCAGATATTTTGGGCGGAGGGCTGCTTACTGAGTTTTGGCAAGCCATCGAGGGCTGCATGACAGGCAGCCAGGGGCAGATAAATATTAATTTTCTAAATTTTTTAGGGGCCCCGCAGGCCAGATAGAATGGCCTGGCGAGTTGTATCCAGCCCACAAGCCACATTTTGCCCGCCCCTGGGCGGGATGGTAGCATCTGTTGAAAGACGCTCTATGATCCCTCACGAAAATTTCAGTGGAATGTATGGGTGATGGCTCAGCAGCCTCTCCCTACCCCTTGAACAGATGATGAAGAACTCCAGTTCTCAGCAGTCTCTCATTCACCTTACTTTCACAACTCGTTTTATTTACAGTTAAAGCTGCCACTTCTCTTTATTTAAAAAAAATAGGGGAACAAAAAAATGCCATTTGACAGAAACACTGTTCTTTATCAGTGAAGGTCAGCAGGTCTCTCTCAAAAGCCCTTCTGAAGTAGGAGGTTCTCCATGCCTAGGGAACCAAGTCATGCATCACACCTCTGGAGATTCACTCAGGTGGTAATTCATATTACTGGAACAACCTGATTGAGATGAAGTGTCACCATGTCTAGCTCATGTCTACCTCAAAACAAGACCCTGGATCTCAGCCAGTTAAACTAAGGGTGGAAACTAGGGATGTGACAGGTTAGATGATTAATGGATTAAGTCATTTAACCAATAAGCTCAGTGATATAACTAGTTAGCATACCAGTTATTGTCTAGCCTTGGGTGGGCAGTCTACCAGGGAAAGGGGGAATGGGGTGGGGAATGGCAGGAACCAAAGCTACCTGGTGCCCCAGGAGGAATCAGAAGGTGGCAGGGCAGGCAGGAGGGAGGGAGGAGCAAGGATTAGTACCCATAGCCTAGGAGGAAAACAGCAGGCAGCCTAATGACTCAATTAAGCAGTTAGCTGCTCATTCACAGGTGCTCCCTCCCTGCTTGAGGCTTCAGGTGGGCTTGTGTTGTCTGGCTGGGCTTGCCACCGTCTCCTCCCCACCCCTTTGTCTTCTCCCCCCCTCCACTCTCAAAAGGACCTGGGGGAATGAAAAGCAGCCATCTGAGCTGCTGTTTTACTGGCTAACCATTTAATCATTGTAATTGGAGGAGGTTAATTTTTTTTTATGATATTTACATCCCTAGTAGAAACAGATGTTACTTTTGGTCAACTTTGTGCTAATGTAAAAAACTGTGATAGTGGTGGTAGGCCACAAAGAGACCAAGGCCAAGCAAACAGACATCCATGTGCCTTGTTGCACTACAAATGCCCAAAATTTGTAGCTGTAACAAAGAGGTGGTATTAGTTTGTGCTGCTGTTCAGCAGCAGATGTTTATTTGGTTCATGGTGGGAAAGCCAAGGCAGCCTGGAGCTGTTTGCACACTCCAGCCACCACAGGCAGGTTTTGGGGGCTTGAGGGAAAATAAGAGCATTTCACAGAAAACATGTACAAGAGAAAATCATATATAATTTCTAAACAGCCATTCCCTGCTCCTTCAGCTTCTGTTTTAAGAAGTTTTGGGAACATTACAAGAGATAGTTTAATTAGTGGCATGTGTCCCCCAAACACTTTAATGTAAGCCTAATGTTCTATCAGAAAAAAAAGTATCTGAGAAGGCCCCTTTTCCCCTGCATTTTGAGAATACAGTTTTTGATTAAGAACTTGATGAAATAATTCTTCCTGCCCGAGTAAATCGTTCTTGGACAAAAAAAAAAATGAAATTTAGTTGCACTGGAGGGAGGGCCACTTTTCTGAAAGTTGATACCTTGAAAAAAAAAAAGGGGAAGGTCTCCAATAGCTAAAAACCAAGCACCTTAATGCATGTATTCCCCCCGCCCCCGAGAACACTGTGAACAAACTACCAAGTTATTTCCTGGCCAAGTTGTTGTTTTTTAAAAAGCAAAGTTGTTCCCAATTTTTCTGCCCAATATATGTATTGAACTTTTTCAGATGCACTTTGGCCATCATACTTGTTAGTCAAATGCCTGTGGCTAATAAAATAGCACTCAGTGAAGAATGGTAGACAAAGTCACCTGGGAACACACTTCAGTATATGTAATCTCCTGGGTAGCAGATCCTATAGTGAAGGCCAGTATATTTCCCCTTCCCCTTATTGTGCTAGGAACGTAAAAATTACTGCCATTACATAGGCTGCTGCTACTATACCCTAATTTACCTACTTTTCTAGGAAAAAAATTACCTAATAGAATTATCATTCAAATGTTCCTTTAGTTCACTCTTGATCACTCCTGCTGTGAGTCAGAGTATGGAGACAACTGAATAGAAGCATGATAATGAGCAGATTTCCTTTCTATTAAGTTTCAGTTTTGCAGCGAATCTAGAAGTATCTTCTCAAAGTGCAATGGACAAAGCACTACCATAGTCTTATTTTATTCAACAGAATGGCAGAACAGCAGTTTCTGTATCGGAGGGGATTGCTTAAGTCAGGGATGGGCAATTATTTTGGGCAGAGGGCCGCTTACTGAGTTTTGGGAAGCCATCAAAGGCCGCATGACAGGCAGCCAGGGACAGATGAATATACATTTTCTAAATTTTTTAGGGGCCCTGCGGGCCAGACAGAATGGCCTGGCGAGCCACATATGGCCCCCAGGCTGCATTTTGCCCATCCCTGACTTAATTCCTGCTTGTATACCAAGTCAGTTCCTGTAAACAGCTCAGATACTTACCGCCTAAAATCAAAGAGAGGTAAAGAAACCTGACCCAACATCTCTGGGCCCTTTCTCTGTTTATTTGAATCAGGAGAACTTCCACTATTTTGATTTAATATTCCAAATAGGGTAAGGCATAAGATAGATTCCAACGGCAACTGTGAAATCTGGATAGGAAAAATTATTCTGTAAAATAAAGAAGTATATAAAAAAATAGTCAGCTACATAGTAAGTCAACTCTGACAAAATAGGTCGCATGTAAACAAAGCAGATGTTTAAGAGCTAATAAAAAATTAAAATCTATTGAAACTGCAGGGGCAGAAAATGGTACCTGTAAGAGGAAGGCCAACTAAAAGAAGTTTAAGAATGTACAATTAAATTCAATAAACAAGTCATATTTACACAACAGATACCAGATTTATCTGAGTATATGACAAGGTCCACCACCCCCACTATTTAACATATGGTAAAAAGCCCCCACCTTACAACTGAGCACAAGGCAGTGGATGGCAGGGGGTTAGGGCTGGAGCCAGTCACAACTGCTGATTGCCCCCAGCTACCTCTGCATGCCCAGCAACTCTTCGTCCTGCAGCCACTAGTCTTTCCCCCCTCTCCCTCTCTGCTACACTCCTCACCTTTGTTCCATGGCAGCAGGCTCTGTCCTTGCTGCAGCACAGAGCATGTACTCCAGCCCAGACCTGCAGCAGCAGTTCCAGCTCTGTGCCACTGCTATGAGGCAGGGCTGGAGCCATGCTCCAGACTGCAGCAGGGATGGAGCTAGGGTGGCCACTGGTCCTGTTTTATATGGGACCATCCTGTTTTTAAGCTCTTTGTCCCCTGTCCATTTCTAAGTGAGGAGCAGACTGCAAAAAGTGGTTTCTCAGTTTACTGGTGTAAATACACGTCAATCATTTGTCCTTGCAATTCTATTGGCTGTGCCTACAAGTAGGGTGGTGCACAACCATGAGGTGGCCTTTTTGTGGTGGCCCTGTTCCTTCCTGCTGATTGGCCAAGGAGGTCGCCTCTAACCAAGATCTTGTATTCTGGAGATGCATCAACCGCCACCCAGGATGGAAACTTCTTGTGTGGAGCAAAGATGGGGGGGAGCAGGTAGGGGAAATAGAGGAAATTAAAAATCAGGACAGATTGAGGCTACAGGGAGAGCAGGCACAAAGGAGGAATAGTGGTGGTGGGGATGAAGGGGGGCAGGCAGCAGGGGGCAAGCTGCCTGCCTCTCTGCCTGCCCCCTACCAGCTGTCCCTGCCATCTATCACCTGCCCAACCGCCTTCCCCACCGTCTGTTCCCACACCACCTGCCCCATTACTGCCACCCTCATCACATCTCCCCCACCGCCTATAGTAGCCGGAGGAGGAATTTAAGATGATCCTCCAATAATTAGATTCCATAAATGGAAAATTATAATAAAGTTATACATTTTCTGTGTATAGAAAATACTTACTGGGGTGGGGTGTCTCAAATCCCAGGTTGTTCTGTATTTGGGCAAATACTGTATTGTTTTTCAGCCTGGAATTTTTTTTGTGTTTGTAGTTTTCAGTTCTATATGCCACACACCACTTGGTAGGATCTTACAGTCATCCTATTCAGTTGGTTATAATTATAAATTAGAGACTTACCTAAATCATGGCAGAAGCGTGCCTTCAGGAGGCAAAAGCCACAGCATATATAAAACTGCAATTTTTGCCTCCCAGCTGATCAGCAGTAAACAGTGAGCAGTGAGGCTGCTGAGACCCCTTGGCCAATCAGTGGCAGGCAGGGAGGCTGGGGTGGGGAAGAGGCACGAGGCAAAAAGAACAAGATTTAAGGAGCTGCTGTGCAGTACACTTCCATCATGATTTAGTTAGGTCCCTAGTTATAATAAAACCTGCCACATTAAATGACCTGTAAAAATCACCCTATCAGAGGCCACTGGGATCACCTTACCCTGGCTTTTCTTAACTTTCAGCCTATTAACAGCAGACTCCATCACACCTGGCCCTTTAAAAACCAGTCAGGCATAGTGCTATTCTAACTTACGCAAAGCAAACATGTCAAATTTGTTATCAGAGTCTACGAAGAAACTGCTAAATAATCAAGACAGCTCAAGGCTAGAATAACTCTCTCAGAGAAGTACAGCTTGAAAGAAAGACACTGGAGTATTTTAAGATCAGTTTCATTAAAGTCACTTACAGTTCATCCCATTTAATCAAATAGAAGAAATTTTTGTATGTGCCAACTTTCTTGGACTGCACAGGCTTAAATAAATCTTTTCCATTGTGGGTCAGAGAGCAAACCAAGTAGTATTTTTCATAACTGGAAAGGAAAAAAGTCATTTAATTAAAGCAAACCTGAAATAAATGTTTACAAAAGGCACATTTTTAGTTTGTTAACTGACTTACTTAGAAATCCAGGCAGGAAGAATTCTGTGAGCAGCAAATATCGTGAACTGGAGATGCTCTGTCGCAGTACATGCTTCTTTTGTGCTTCGACTATTCTTTGGAGTGATTGCTGCAGAACTGCTGCTACATGAATGCAAGTGGAGTTGAAGAAGAGCCTCAACTGCTCTAGTTAACTGGTCTACAGCCACCTGTACAGGGTTTTCGGGCTGCAATGAACCTAGATTATAATACATCTTTAATGCATATCTTCTTAAAACAATAATCTAAAACAAATTCTTCAATAGCATTAAGTACTTTACTTACCAACTGAACTCTTGTTAGCATCATCACCAGACTTTAAAGATACCTGCACAGTAAATCATGACAGATTTTAGAAAAACAGCAACTTATATTTAAAGAGTCTTAGTTGCTATTCATTCCAATGACAAGGTTTCTACACCAAGTACAGTATGACTGCGTGAAACACTGGGACAGATCTGGGCCCCAGCTGTGGCCCTTTGCATTACTCTAAACACAAAAGGCCCATAAAAGCTACTTAAAGGGAGTATTTCAATATTCAAGAGAAGTCAGCACCAGAGGACAATATGGTCCAATAAGCTATGAGTACCATAACTGTCTTGAGGGAATGTTATTCTTAAATAATTAGGTTGCTCTCACCATTTAGGTTAAAGTAACTTAAATTGCTTTAAAACTTTAGGAGGCCTACAGCTGAGCTACACTAGAGAATCAGGGCTGTCAGTCAAAGTGCACTGACAGGAATATAAATATAGTCAGGCTACTACTTATATTTCTATGAAACAATTTGTTCCAAACAAATACTATCTTTATGGAGGAGAAAAAAGTGCTTTTTCAAAGTTGTTTTTTAGGTCTCCAGGAGAAAGGTTTTACTATAGCTTGTCCTTTTTTATTCAGTGAATAACTCAGGAGATTTATGGGCAGTAAAATCCTTAATTCCAGTGTCCAATCAATGATCCATTTTAACAATGTGTGTAAAAGTCACAGTGACAGGATGCCATATATACATACTCCATCTTCCATAGAACATTGCCGTATTATTTGAAAGTAGTTTTGTTATATCAAGAACGTTGAGAGAAGCATCACATAACAGCTACAGTGTAGTCGTGTCACTTTCTTTGAATGACATGACAACCTTTCTGTGAGATTGCTCAGGTCAAATTCCAACCCTGCCCCAGTTTCATACTATGCTAGAGTTTTAAATAAAAATGCTTCTTGTCCTAAATTATTAGAACGGACAACGAACTGTTTAATTTCTGGCAGCCTGTTCCAGAAGTAGCTAAATTTCAGATGTACCTAAAGAAGGTTTCTATATATCCCATGGACCCCCTCACAGAGGTATGAAGTAGTTTAGTTGTATACTAGGTGCAAAAAACCACATCAAGTGAAGCTGAATAAGATGCAGATTCCATTGTAAATACATGTGGAACTTAAGAAGACTATCACCATTAAAAATCTAAAGCTTGAAAAAGATGGGTTTCTACAACAGCACTAAATATATCTTTAACTGTGGAAAGACTTCCATTCTCCATTATAATTTGGAGACCTTTGGATAACAAATGCTATTTATGTACATGCCATCTCCGATTGATTTCCATCGGAAATTCAACATGCAGCACCCCTCTATCAGGCTCTCTCTGGAATACTCCAACACCAACATCTCTCTCTTTTTTTTTTTTTTTTTTTTTTAAATATACACACACACACACACACACACACACACACACACACACACAGGTCACTATCCAGAATGGTACAACAGAGACCACCATATACAAGAAACCCATAGACCAACATACATATCTGCACAGAACCAGCAATCACCCTAAACGCACCAAGAAAGCTGTAATATACAGTCAAGCCGTCCAATATGACGGAGTTTGCACTGAGAATACCTGTGATCATCACCTCACAACTTTCAAAAGGGCCTTCACTCAACAAAGGACACCCCTCTAAAGATGTAGATTACATTTTTGAGAGAGCCACCCAGATATCACATGAAGAATTGCTCCAGTACAGAAGAAAGACCAGTGATGTGCAATTCATGGGGGTTATGACACAGCATCCCTCCCTGGAACCTATACAGAAAATACTCAAACAATTGCAACTCATACTAGAAGGAGACCCAATTCTCAAAGATCTTCCCAAAACCACCCATCCTATCCTTTAAACAAGCATTGAACCTCACCAACTTCATCACCAGCTCAAAACGCACTGAATGGATCAAGACTAGGGCTGTGCAAAACAGCACTGTTCTGTTTCATTTTGTCGAAACAGTGAAACTGTTTTGACACTGTTTCGATGTTTCACCCACAGGCTATAAAAAGGGAAACTAGAAACAACCTATAACTTTGTCATTTCTAGCCCAATTTGGATGCAGCTTGCAGGGATGGTAGCCCCTTCTGAGGCTACAAAGCCTGCCAAGTTTCAAGGAGATAGGTGCAGGGGTTCAGGGGAAACTGCACCTCAAGCTGCAGACAAGCAGAACTCGTGATGTGGGTGACAGTGTGTGTTAAGGCGCAGTGGGGTGACAGCTGCAGGCCTGCTAGCCCCTGCTTAGGCTACAAAGCCTGCCAGCTGTCAAGGAGATAGGTGCAGGGTTTCCTGGGGCCCTGCACCTCTGGCTGCTGACAGGCAAAACTTGTGACGTGTGTGTGCGTGCGCGTGTTAAGATACGCCCTCACCCAACTGACACCAAGGCGGAAAGCAGGGCAGTTCAAACAATGCTGCCTTTTATGCAGCTTTCCCATCCCTCCCCCAGAGCACTGGGATTGGAAGGGACCTCAGGAGAGGATGACACTCACTGGCCCGCTACAGTCAATAATGAGAGCACTCCTTTCCCCTCCCTCTCCTTACTTTAGTTTCTATTTTCCTGCAGGCAAGCCCAGCTTGAGCTTTGAAACACAAAACATTTCGACTTGCCTCGTTTCATTTTGAGGCTGTTTTGAAGCTCTCCACTTCATTTCAATTTTGCTATTTCTAGCTCAAAATGAGTCGAAACAACTTGAAAACGAAACTGCCAGTGAAATTTCACACATCCCTAATCAAGACTATTCCAGAACAAGAAATATAAAACCTGCCAACAAATCTCCACCACTCCCACAGCTACTATCCCCCACAACAGAACCATCACCATTCCTGGATCTTACACCTGCACGTCCAAAAATGTAATACATCTCTCATCCAGTGCACCAAATGCCCTGATGGAAACCAAACAAACACCTGTGTACCAGAATGAACGCACAATGAAAATCTATCAAAGACAAGAATACACAACTACCGGGGGGGGGGCACATTTCTCACAAGAAAAACCACACTCTCAGTTCTAATCCTTAAAAGGGAATTTACAAAATACCTTCCACAGACAAGCCTACGAACTTCTCTTCATCAATCTACTGGATACAAAAAAAATCATGGACTACATATAGACATTGGATTTATGACATTACAACATGCCTGACATCTGACTCCCTAGGTAAACCCTCCACTTTTTACCATCTCTGTTCTCATTCCCTTCCCCCCACCCTCCTGCCTCTCATCCTTTGACTACAACCACTTTTATTCCCTCTTGCACCCCACAACTCTCTCTCACCTACTGACCACCTCAATTTACATTTTAACTGACTGGCTTTCTTGCATATATATTGGTCTATGGCTGTTTTTACTACTCAATCCAGGAAGAGCAGAGGCCATCTGCAGATACTTCCTCAGCCTGATGAAGGGTGTTTGTGCCTGAAAGTTTGCTAAAAAAGAACTTTCCCAACTATTTGAGTTGGTCTAATAAAAGATATCAGATTTACCCAAAGAACTTTGGGTATGTACATGCCAAGCACTACTAAAACATAACAATGTATAATTTTATGCAAGGATCTATTTACTATCTCTTTACTTTTGTCATAGCTGCCATTAACCACTCATTCAAAATTTCAGACTCCATTTTAGGTACAGTTTGCATAGAAACAGTTAAGTAATTTCTAGTTATTACTATATGCTTCTGCAAAAGTGAACATTCACCCTTTCTTGGAAAGCACAGTCCAAATTGACGTTCATTATAAGATAGTGATGGAAGAAATAAAGACACTTTGTTAACTTTTACTGTGGGAT